TCCATTCTTGAGATGCGCGTTGTGCGTCATACGTGTCCCTCACGTGGCACTTCACGATGACGACGATTGCTTCTTTTTATTTTTTGTTTTCTCGTTTTTTAAAATAAAGTGCTTCTCAGGGACTGAGCGGTTTAGGACGAAGATGGTCCTCTTTTGCTCTTCCTTTCCTTTCTAAATCCTCAACGCTCGGGGAAACAATGGGGGTATCATCTATTCGAGCTTTAAAGGATCTCCGAATCCTTTCATGGTCTGTTCAATCTCTGTTCGATTTCACACGCTGGATCAAATTTTTTTTTATTTATCTATTTTATTTGAGCTTTCCATTTATGGTTCCCGTGATTTGTCTGGTCAGACCAGATCTCTGTCCAATATCAGCTGGCTTTATTTATTTGATTTTTATTCTTCATATAGTTTGAGGTTGATTTCGGCGTGCAAATGTTCTTATTTTCTTCTTGGTGAATCACTTCATTCCTGTTCTTTTCTGTGAAATGAATGGCTCTTTTTTTTTTTTTTTTTTCAATTCAGCGGAATATTTTTTGAGTCTTTTGTTTTTGTTTTTCGAGGCACGATGGAGGTATTTATTTATTTATTGGGTTTCGCCTTTTTCTTTTTAAATATGAATACACGTTTCTTTTACCCGAATAGTTTACTCAATCAATAAGAAATACTACATCCCAGTCCTAATTATAAGAACCAGTTAACTAATTTGAGAAGATTAAGAAGTAAGTTAAATTAGTTATTTATCCTAAATAGATGTTGTCTTTCATAAAATATCCTTACTAATCAAGTGTATTGATTAGAACTATGATTATTAGAAGGGTTATTTTGAAAAAAAAATGTATAAATATGAGAGATAAAATGGATTGGGGTCTTATATTTAGAATTAAAATAAAAATCAAACAGGGTCTTATATTAAAGATTTGAAGTTGTATATTGTTTTTTTAATCTAAAGGGATTTTTTTTGGCCGCAAAAGATTGAACTCTTCAGTTTTTGAGGATGTATCATTTGCCCCATCTTCTTGCATGCACCTCTCGTGGAAAAGATCATCAACAAATTGTAAATAAAAAATATGAATTTTCAGCCACAGAAATTAAAAAATATCAAACGTCTAAATTGCAAAATTTCCCCCTTCAATCTCTCTCTCTCTCTCTCATGCTGTGTGTTGGCTTTCCCATTCATGTGCATTAGTCTCCTTTTCGACAGTGGAAAATACACAATTGTAGCATGGCACCAATGTCCTCTGTTAATCGAATTTATGTCTTATAAAAAAAATCACTAATACTAATCAAATATATTTTTTTAATCTTGTCAAGTGGGAAATGATGCCTCAGCCTGACAGGAATGTTATTGATTTCCGGTTTATAATAATCCATTCTTGAGATGCGCGTTGTGCGTCATACGTGTCCTTCACGTGGCACTTCACGATGACGACGATTGCTTCTTCTTTTATTTTTTTGTTTTCTCGTTTTTAAAAATAAAGTGCTTCTCAGGGACTGAGCGGTTAGGACGAAGATGGTCCTCTTTTGCTCTTCCTTTCCTTTCTAAATCCTCAACGCTCGGGGAAAATGGAGGGTATCATCTATTCGAGCTTTAAAGGATCTCCGAATCTTTCATGGTCTGTTCAATCTCTGTTTCGATTTCACACGCTGGATCAAATTTTTTTTTATTTATCTATTTTATTTGAGCTTTCCATTTATGGTTCCGTGATTTGTCTGGTCAGACCAGATCTCTGTCCAATATCAGCTGGCTTTATTTATTTGATTTTTATTCTTCATATAGTTTGAGGTTGATTTCGGCGTGCAAATGGCAGAATGACACATCTCTCTGTTCTTTCCCCCTCGTCTTCTTGTATAGGAATGCAATTGTTGATTTCGTAATTCGTGGGAGAATGAGGAGATTTTAGCTGTTAAAATTGACAGAGTACCTATTTTTACTTTTATTTGAGCGCACGAAAAAAAAAAAACAGGTTCTTTCTTTTGTGGACTGTGGTGAACTCAGTAGACATATTTTCTGTTTTCGATTTCTGTATAAAAACCTAACGTGAATTTCCCCTCCATGGTTGCAGAAATTGAGGATTACTGCTACTAGACAAGCCTCTACTGCAATGGGGGATTACGAAGTTATTGGTGAATTGCCTTCTCATAAGGCAAATAACTCTAGAAAGTTTCAGTTCTTCCTCTTGTATTTCTCATTTTTTATGAGGTCTCTGGGGGTCCTTTTGGTGTGGAGGATACCGTGCAAGCTGCTGGTCCTCTATTAGCTTTGCTTGGGTTCTTGGTTTTCCCATTCATATGGAGTATTCCCGAAGCTTTGATTACTGCTGAGATGGGAACCATGTTCCCAGAAAACAGTGGTTATGTGGTTTGGGTTTCCTCAGCTTTGGGTCCCTACTGGGGGTTTCAGCAAGGTTGGATGAAGTGGATAAGTGGGGTAATTGATAATGCCTTGTACCCAGTATTGTTTCTTGACTATCTGAAGTCAGGAGTCCCGGCTTTAGGGGGTGGCATGCCAAGAACCGTTTGCAGCATTGGGTTTGACAGTTCTTCTTACTTACTTGAACTATAGGGGTTTAACCATTGTGGGATGGGTTGCTACTCTTTTAGGGTTCTCTCTCTCCTCCCTTTTGTGGTAATGGGAATTTTGGCAATTCCAGACTTGGAACCTTCTAGGTGGTTCGTGACAAATTTGAATGGCGTGGATTGGAATCTATATTTGAACACTCTCTTCTGGAATCTTAATTATTGGGATTCCGTAAGCACTCTTGTGGGAGAAGTGGACAATCCAAAGAAAACTCTTCCCAGGGCTCTTTTTTATGCTGTGATTCTGGTAGTTCTTGGGTATTTCTTTCCTCTTCTAATCGGTACTGAGCTGTTCCTCTCAATCAAAAGTTGTGGACAGATGGGTACTTCTCAGATATTGCTACTATTGTTGGAGGAGTGTGGTTGAGATGGTGGCTTCAGGCAGCTGCTGCAATGTCAAACATGGGGATGTTTGTTGCTGAGATGAGCAGTGACTCTTTTCAACTTCTAGGGATGGCTGAGAGGGGAATGTTGCCAGAGTTCTTTAGCAAGAGATCTCGATATGGAACCCCTCTCATTGGGATTCTATTTTCAGCCTCAGGTGTGATTCTGCTATCATGGTTGAGCTTCCAAGAAATTGTAGCCGCGGAGAATTTCCTTTACTGTTTTGGAATGATTCTGGAGTTCATAGCATTCATATTGCTGAGGATCAAACACCCCAATATGCCTCGGCCGTACAAGATACCTGGGGGAACAATCGGAGCTATTCTTATGTGCATTCCTCCAACGATATTGATTTGTGTTGTGCTGGCTTTCTCCTCCTTCAAAGTGATGGTTATAAGCCTCATTGCTGTGTTAATTGGTCTTGTCTTACAGCCTTGTTTGAAACTTGTTGAGAAAAAGAGATGGCTGAAGTTCTCTATCAACTGTAATCTCTCAGATCTTGACAATGAGGCGGGCTTGTCCTTGGTAGATTGATTTCTTCTGATTCGAGAGAGATGTGAAGGGAAGATTCAAACCCAAAATAAGATGATGAGGCCAATATATGCAAAATATTCAGGTTACAGTCTCTCTGAAACACAAGAAGCATTGAAGGGGAGCTCTCTTTCCACTTTCCACCCAAAGCTTTGCTTAGGCCAATAAACTTTAGCTGTTTATCGTCTTTGTTTTAAATTTGATGATAAATGGTCAGGCTACTAGAAATTTGTAAGGTAGTTTTTAAATATCTTGGGAAATGAATTTCTAAAAGTAGTAACATGAGGATCATTTTCCATTCATAAAGTTACTTGTGACTTTTAACACATTGTTTGGTTGGAGGGGAGGGGAAGGGTATAATTTTGTATCCTTGTGAGGATCATTATCCCTGTCATTTCTACGCTGATCTCCATCTCCGTTTTACTTATTTTTAACTTGTCCCCTCCTTCGCATGTGAGTGACAGCAATTTATAATATATACATATTATTTGATTGTAGGGAAAATGGTAAAAAGAAACCGCGGAAATAGAAAATTTGTACAGAGAGACTGGTTTATAAAAATTATCATCAAAATTTATACTATTGTTGTTGAAATCCATACTAATGTTGTCATAGGTCCTTATTTGTAATTTTTCTATTTTAGCAGTTTTTTTTTTTTTGCCATTTTCCCTTGATTATATTTAATTTGCGAGCTGCAGCAATCAGTCGTGTCTCGTGTGTGAAGGAGTTCCCTGGGTTTCACGGTGTAGTTGTCGGACAATTATATGAGTCGCACATTTATTATAGTTTTTTAATCATAACTCTCATTTATTATTCCTTTCACAAAACTTACAGTTTTATGCTAAAAAAGTTTTAGGTAGTCATCTTGCCTCATTATGAGGCTCTGACGAGTTCTAAATACATAAGTATATATTATAATTATTTATTTGTTTATGTAAGCAAACAATGGAATGTTAATATTCCTTCCTTTTCTCCTACTAAAATTTTTCCATTCTCCTCCCCTCCAATCAAACAGATACTTATTATTCCCTGCTAGATGGATGAATCGTTTTTATATTGACATGTTAATAATTAATAAACAATTAATAAATTTTTACATATGATTTTGATCTTCCATAATATATTGATTATCCTTTTTGACACCTTCGTGCCAAAGGAAAAATCCCTTTTTACCACCAAAAAAATTTTATATCAAACGGTTCAATGTTGAAAAGCTTAAAATTTTGTAATTAGTTTCGTAATTAAAAATTATTTACGCAGTTTTTAAGAATGCCTACCGCCTAGCTTTTCCAATGATGCGCGCGCGCACTTGCTCACGCTTATTGTGCAGTGTCTGTGTACTACTATTTTTTTAAAAAATCATTACGGTTGGTTTGTTACGTTACATGGGAGCATATTCAAAATGTAAATACCCGCCAACGCTGTATCGGCTCAACCTTCAAATTGAAGAGCGCTGTGTCTCCCTGTCTTGCAGAAGAAGAAACTACGAAGGATGAAGAAAAGGGGAAAAGTAAGGTCGCCATGGTTAATCTACTCACAACGCCATCACCGAGATCTTCCCCGCCGTACGATTCCCCGGCGTCGGCGATCTTCGTCAGAACGGCTTCGACCTCCAAGAACACCAAGAGAGCAACGGTTGACCACGCCAAATCTCAAGCTCTCAAGACTGTCAGCAACGTATCGGAGTTGAAGGACCTCGCTGCTACGCGTCTTGACGAACTGAAGGGCCTGATTGATCGCTCTCACTCTGAGATCTTCAACGATCTCGAGGCTTCCCAGTTACGTCTCCGCAAGAGACTTAAGGTATTGCTCGTTCATTTCCTTTCGCCTCGTTGCAAGTTGTAAAATCGCATTAAGTGTAATCGTAAATTTGTTTATCAGATCACACGTACTCCAGTGTAGCATCGAAGTTTTTTGAGAACTTCGAGTTTTGTTTAGTTGCAAGTAAGAATGAATTCATCCAAGAGACTAAAATGACTTCGCATGATCCGGAGCACTAGAGAAAGTGAAACATAAATTTGGAATTTATCATCGTGTTCTGATTTTTTTGGCAGTCACGTATAAGAAATCTTGATAGCTGATTGTTTCATCTTCACAAAACCTGATGCACATTCGACTCAATAAACGTGTCGAGAATTAAACTGATAAGAACAGATACTACACTTGATCTTAGCCAAAAGGTCGAGAATTAAATTTCGAGAACCACGTTTTTCCATGATCTGAATAAATTGGGCTGTTGCTGTAGTCTTTTTTCTGCCAGAGCATTGCCGCTAGAGTCTCCGTGTCGTACAGTGTCATACTAGCCATCGGATATCGTTTTCGAGAAAAATGAAAAAAAGAAGGAACGCTAGTCAAGATGCTCGTCGTCCTTTGATTGAATCTCGTCCCTGCCGTTATAAGTTTCACAACGGCACTGTAAATTCAGAATTTCAGATATTTGATCTAATTAATTTCACCATTTATTTTTTAAATCATATATGCAGACTCAATCATGCCAGCAAATGATGGATGAAGCAGATAAAGAATACAAAAAAGTTTCTGAACGAATTGCTGCTGAAAATCAAGAATTAATGAAGGTATATTGCCTCCGTTCTTTAACTTTTTTTTTAATAATATTTAGAGAATATAATGGTTTGCTTTATATAATGGTAATTTAGAGAATCTAATTGTTCTTTTCAGGCCTCGTATAAAGAATTCGTTGCAGATGCACAGATCAGCGCATCTCGTGGTACGTTTGTTTGATTAAATTATCATTGTAACTTGATGACATAATCCTAGTTCATTATCTTCGGTAAGTTTTCAGAACTGTGTCCGAACACGCTTCATAGAACTACACATTGTATCAAAATAAAAAGGAAGAAAATTACCTATACATGGCAGCACGTCGCGTTCTTATAGTTTGGTTTCTTTGTCTTATGACATTCAGATCTATACACGCACATATGCCACACTCGTATGTGAGATTGTCCACAAATCTGTTGAGATATTTACACCCATTTGAATAAACAGGCTTCTGATTTTTTTTTGCCTTAAAAAATTTCAGCCTGCAAAACGTCCGTCGCTAATCTATCGCAATCATTTGACAAAGCCATTGACTCTCTTCGAAACCGTTTTGGAATTTCGTCAACTTAGCCAAAGATGCTAACAGACAGCTAAACAAGGCAAATGGCAGTATGCGTTCGGTGGACTATGCTCAAGAACTGTTTTCGTATCTAACATTTGGACTTGGAATTTGACATGGACTGTGCCAAGATTTGCTGGATCACATTGCTTTTCCAAATTTTGAACATTTTCTTTCTTGAACTGATTGTCCTCCGCATAGTATTTGATACATGAAAATATAAGAAAGAATCAGACGGATTTTAGCAAATTGTGCTACGTACATCGGCAATGAATCTCCACTTTCTTTTAATGACACTTCTCGGTTAAGCAACATACATTTACAGGGCAGAACAGCAATTGAACCACATGAGCCTTCACTAGTCCAGGCTCTTGACATGAGCCATCCTGCGGACAAGTTTAACATGAATTTCTTTAAAATGAGGGCAATTTCTCTTCTTTTGATCCTAGTTTGAAATCCAGTCAAAGCAAAGTGCTGAAACTTTCAACAGGATCAGATTCTTCAAGCATGGAAGCTGCCTGGAAGCAGTCGGCAGCATCGCCTATTCGGCCATCATACTTGTGAACCTTTCCCAAGTGAAACCAAGCCGTGCGGTTAGTGGGTTCTAATCGAAGTGCATCAGAAAGAAAGCTTCTAGCTAAAGGCAAAGACTTCGACTTTGAATCCACTTTGAGCAGCAAAATACCCATCTGGATCTTGCTTGGAACATAGCATTGATCAAACAGGATCCCTGTCGTGATAGCAGAAACAGCTTCTTGTTTTTCTCCACGTCCATCATACAAAAGACCTGGTAGAATCACACAGGAAAGTATTAATATCTACATACATGCAGAAGACTATTTGCTTTTTTTTCTTATGCTACTTCGAAGGCTTTAGGCTATACTTTCACATTCTCCGACAACGTTGCTTTAGAACCGGCCAAAATATGTCCTCTCCCCCCCCCCGGGGCCGAGGGGAAGAGAGATTTTAATTCATTTTCTTTGGTCTTTATTCAAGTGAACATTATGTCCTCCTCCTTTTCCATTCTCCTTAATCCAAAGAAACTCTCCAATCATCCTTTATTTTGAAAGATGATGAAGTGAAATTTTGATTTTGAAACGTTTTAATTTAGATCTCAATCTAAATAAGCCTAAAGAAATATTAACGTTATATTTAGTTATAAATTAAAGAGAATCTTTCGAAATAAATTTTCTACTACCTCCGGTTCTTAATATAAGAACTTGTTTGATTTTTATTTTGGTCCTAAATATTAGACCCCGATCCACTTTTTCTCTAATACTTATATATTTTTTTTTCAGAATAGTCCTTCTAATAATAATAATTCTAGTCAATACACTTGATTAGTAAGGATATTTTAGAAAAAATAACACATGTTTATTACAAATAACTAACTCAACTTTTTTTCTTAATCTTCTCAAATTAGTCAACTAGCTCTTATAGTATAACATATATGTATCAACTGGGGGAGTAAAACTCCAGTATTCTCCCGCCGTATAACTGTTTTCTTTTAGCAAAACTAAAAGTGAAGCAAGTACTGCCTGTACAATGTAAAAGATAACAGTAAAATTAAAAATTGATTTAAATTTTAAGAGCAAATAAGTTCCAAGATGAAAACAAATTAGTAAAGGGATAAATGTAAACTCATTTTCTCCTAACTTAGGGTTCTTTTTCTCCCAAAACCATGGAGACAGCTTTAAAGTACTTGCTTTAAAATAATTATGGTTGAGCTTCTTGAAGAGCACCTATCTCCAACAAATAACCCAATATTTTCCTGTATGCAAAAATTATAAGAAAAAATAAAATCTTTCTTCTGCAACTATCCTAAACAAAAAAAGGAAACGGCTCAGCAACCACAAAAATAACTTGCATAAAAGAAAATTAAAAGTGCTGAAATGACGACAGATTCAGAGGATATATATCCACTTCCCAGATCACCTGTGTACCCAGCCGCTAAAAACAATTTAATGACAAAACGATAAAAAGTAGTACATGCAATCTACCACTGTAAGATAGCATATGGCATATTACCTGTGTATTTATTTTCATAGGCCCAAATGAATTCTTTTGAGCCTGAATCAATGCAAGGAGGTATCTATAAGTTTCAATAGCATCCGTTGGTTGTGACTGGAGAATCTTGAGCTTTGCTTTTAGTCTAAGCAGTGGCCCTTGCTCCCATCTTGCAGTCTCATCTAAAGCAGCATTTATCACCACTTCAGCCTCCGGGAATCGTTGCTGAGCAGACAAAATCAGAGCAATCAATCTCCAACCTTTCAATATAGATCCTCCTGTTTCATCAAAGAACTGCTTTGCATAGCGCAAAGAAGTTGTCAAATTTCTGTGTTCTGCATAATGAACTCCCACTCCAAAAATCAGATCACAATTGTTATACTCAAATCCCATTGCCCCTTCTAGTGACTTCAGAGCTTTGGACTGAAGTTTAGACCTTTGAAAGTCCGAGGAAGCAACCTTAGCTTGCTTTCCCAGACAAAGTCCCAACACTCTAAGACACCACCTTTCCAAATGACTCGTTTATGCCCTTAGCATTATTGATTGCCCTTTGTGCATACCCCACTCCCTCTGCAGCAAGATAAGGATCCTCACTGCAGATCCTGGCAGCTGCTAACAATGATTCAATGTCATTTGGTCTCTCATGTTTGTGCAAAGATTTTCTGAGTAGATCCAAAGCACTTTGGTTTTGTCCTGCTCCATAGAGACATAAAGCTAAAAGATTCCAACGATCAATACGATGATATAATCCAGGCATTAACTCTTCAAGTTGCTTTGCTAGAACAGAAGTTTGGCCACATACAGAAAGTGCAAAAGTCAGGTGCTCCATCACTGAAGTATCCCATTTGGACTTGTCAATGCAAAAGTCTCCTCACAGCAAGCATTAGAAGCAGAATTGAATCTCTTCCAGATTGTTTTTAGGTACATAAAACCCCTCGCCCAGATCAGTTGCCTTGGGTGGGCTAGCCTCGAACCCACCATATAGCAAAAGCTTGGCAAGTCCTTTCTGAACTCTAGCACTCCCATCAGTATCAAAATTCCATTGACTCAGAAGTTCAAGAGCACGTCTATAAGCAGACAATGCCTCTTGATAGCTACCTGCTTGCTTTGTAAGCTCTGGAAGAAGTCCCACAATGCCACTGACTACTTCTTGCAATGTTGTTCCAGTTGAATATCAGATACACCCTGACTGAATGCCTTCTCAATACCCTCATGCACACTTTTGCATTCAGTGGTCGCTTCTGAGCGAGCAATAACACAAGCATTACAGTTTATTCAAAGAGAAGTAGGATACTAGAGGGGGTTCGAAGATTCACATTTCATTTGGGAGAAAAGCAAACATAAAAAACGACCGTAGATTTTTCATAGTTCTTCCTCGTTAAGTTACTGTAAAATTTCAAGAGAGAATGGAGGTAAAAGAGAAAGTGAATCTCATTCACATTGCTTACTTTTGTTGTCACACTTTCTTTAAATTTTACAGTAAATTTAGAACAAAGAATTCTAGGGGATCTATATACTAAAAGAAATTGCACCAATGAATGGATGATTACTTCAAAATTGTATTCAATACCAGTTATTTTTCCCTGCTTTCGTAGGGTTTTGCTTTGAAGTAGATGGATTCAAGCATCAAACTAGCAGCATGCCTAGGGATTGAGGTAGGTGATTCAGCACGAGGGCGTGCTTTCTTGGCCGCTGATTATCAGAAACTAACGATTGTAATTGCTGAAGGGCAGCTTGGAGATCAACCCCATCAAACACACGAAGAGCACTTGCATAATTCCCTCTTTGATACTCTAGCTTCCCTATAAGAGTTCTTGCTTCCTGATAACACAATGCAATTAAGATAAACAGATCAGGTGTGAGTAGTTTGAAAACTTGATTCCTCATTATGCCATAAATTAGACCCTCTATACATTCATAATGCATTCATATGATTGCATGGGGATCCACATTTCATCATTATGGTCATCATCTTTTTTCTTGTTATTTCTCTCCAATATAATATACCATATATACATACATATACACATATTCATTAGTGTGAATGTAAGGGATTCAGATTGGTTGTGCGGGCACAAGGTCACAAATTTGATTTCTGAGAAGGGAAACGAAAATAGAAGGGGCCAGAGAGTTAGGAGAGTATATGATGATACGTGTGAAGGGATTTGGATGAAGCTACCTCACCTCAGAGTGATAGATAAGCCCTCTTTCAATGCAGATTCAGGCTTCAACGTTTCCTTGGTCAAGTTTGGCTTCAACTTCTGCAGCATTCATGTGATTTCCATTTGCATAGAACTCTCGTCCACCTGACGTCCTCTCATTCTCGCTCTTCTCCATCATCGTTCATCTCCCATCCGCCTGCATCCTCTTAAACCGTTTCTATTAGTATTCCCTTTTCAACGTGCTTCTTAATAGAATTGATTGATTGATGAACTTACATTACATGGTTTTTGGTTTCGTTTATGGTTTTGAGATCAATCGCTTTCTACCTGAGAGAATATTTTAGGAACAGAAATGGGTGGTGATATGAAGCAACGAAACCCATCTGATTCTCTGAGATGGTGATGTTCCAGAATTTGACGCTACGAAACGAAGTCATTTCCCATGACATGCTTCTCATACAATGCAATATTAAAAAAAATAGATCGTCTATTTTTAGTTTTATTGCATTTGGTTTGAAGTTAAATATACACTGAGGAAGAAAGAAAAGTAGTTTTGGAAGAATGTTCAGACTTTTCTTTTTTTGGTTAATATTTCTTTATTTATCTTCACATCATTCTTATTCTGAAAAAAAAAATTAGGAAAATTAATGAAAATTTTCTCGTCAAAATATTTTTTTATCCAAAGATAATCAAAATTTATCTAAGGACTCTAATCCTAAGTAGGGGAAACCAAATGTTGACGTGGCACTGGACCAATTAAAAACATTTGCATATAATTAAATAATACATATGTCACATACAATTTAATACATAATAAATACAACATCGGTTAAAATGAGTTACATCTGTTTAAGAAATTAATTTCTTAAATAAAATTTAGGTATCTTTGAGTTTGAGCCATATTTTAATATAACTTTTCAACAATTTTGAATTATTATGAGTTATATTCTTTTTTATTTTTATCAAACTTCCTTATTTTCACAATAAGAATGCGCATTTTTCCAGTTGGCAAAAAAGAAAAAGAGTATAGTAGTTTCCCTAACAGAGAGCTTTGTTTTTTTTTTCCAAGGTCGCTCACCTTTGGCCGTCTTTCCCGATAATATAATAAGCTGTTCAGTGGCC